AGCTGCTGCATCTCCTTAAAAAGTAGAGCCAGTTTCTTGCAAGTGTGAGATTGAGAAACTTTCGCTTACAATCTCCTGCCAAACTCAAAAAGTGTCGTCAAAACATCGCCTCTACATCACCGCGCTGACGTTGCTTCAAGTAGAAGCTCATATTACAGTCATCACAAAAAGTAATTGGTTAAAAACACACACGACGTCAAAATTGAGTAATTATAGTAAATTTGTACTCATCTTAACTTGAATCCAAATATTTAAACGACTGTTTTATAAATGAATAATCCTGTAAATAATACATTCCTGGCCAACATGATATCTTTTTTAATGAACTACAGCGATTAAATGCGAGTGACTGGCGACTCGTACGTCATTAATTGAAGGTACGAGAAGCTTTGCTTTTTTGCAGGCTTTGAGTTCGTGCTTATAAAGTTCAGTCCCGCTGCCATCCTTTTGTTTCAAGTCAACCGAGCTTATATGAAGAGCTCGGAATATCATATTCTCATTGACTGGAAGTTCTTTGGCGATTACAAATTGCGAGAGTAGCTAATTCTTTAATGGTACCGAACCCGTTGATGGATGTGAATTCTTTAATGCTCTTTGAATTCTTTGACGAATGCGAATCCTTTGATGATCATCGAATGACTTTCAATCCTTGATGGTCTTCGAATCTGTTTGATGGATGATAATTATTTGAGTTTTTTTTCTAATTCTGTGATGATGGCGAATCCTTTGATGATTTTCGAATGTCTTGATGGGCGTTAATACTTGAGGGTCTATAAAATCCGTTTACGTATGTAAATATTTTGATCGCAGTGAATCCTTTGAGGGTGACGAATCCTTTGATGGTCGCTTATTCTGCAAGAAGCACAATTCTTTGAGGGTCGCCTATTAATTATTTGATGCTCGATCATCCTTGATGGCCTCCCAATCCTTTCATGGTCGCAAGTCTTTTGATGGCTGCGAATCCTTAGATGGCCGTGAATCCTATATGGTCCCAAATTTTGTTGATGGGCGCATTTTCCTTCAGTATTTGTTGCTGCGACACGCGCCGGATACGTGATGTGGAAGAGTGACGGAAGTTCGGGACTATAGCAGCGATCAGACTCTTCATCGGGGCTTGTATAGTCAGCTTCTGTTTGTTTTTGAATATAGTTACTTTACATGCCTCCAACGTAGAGATCGTGCCAGGATGACAATATCTATAGCTTTTAGATGGAAATGTAAAATGTAAATGTTGGCTTCAGGGCTGATTTGAGCGTTAATTTGCTGGTCTACGGCTGCGCACCCCCATCCATTCATATAGAAAAATTAGCGAGTGTGGTGATACATGGAATTGTAAGTAAAAGATTTCATATCTATCATCTTTACAATCATATTTTTAACTGAAATTTTGTACGACAGAGAGGAAGATACTCGGAGATCGACGGGAAAAAGAAGATCGTCGTGATTTTAATCCTTGAATTTTTATAAGGCAACTTCGGCGTGCTTGGTTAATGGGTAAAATTTAACGTGAAAATTCGAAGATATATTTCTGACTTCATGTTTCTTCATTGTTCTAAAACCCTGCTACACTCACCTTGTATCAGCACAAATATACTAGAATATTTCCCATATTAAACCAATCTGCAATAAAATCTCCCCTTGGTTTCGATGCAAATGCGGGGAAATCTCCCCGTATACTTTAGATTTATCTGCTGGAAATGTGCGCTTATACATTAATAAATCACAAGTAGATAATTTTTATATCGTCACTTGAACACGCATACTTCTTCAGGCTATCTATTCAAAATATGGTACATGAGCAGACGCATGTGATCTTTGTGAGAGTTTTGGACGACTCCGTCCACGGCCACGCTGATGCTCCGCCTTCAAATTATTCTCTCATGCCTGGGCCTAGACTTTAAAAAAAAAATTAAGAGATCGTATAAGTTCAGCAGCCAATCATTGACGGCCTTTCAAGCAAAATCCACCAATCGTAGACAAGAAAATTGAGCGTAAGTACTTACGTTCACTTAGCGAGTTTTGAAAGTATGGGGCCTGGAATCGAACTTAAGCCTCCTGGGCCCAAGCTGTGGGTACAAACATCGTTTTTTACTGCACACAGCTTGGATTGCAGTAGAAGGATGAAATGAAATGCAACATAGATTATTGTATAGTTTATTTGTGATGCTTTGCAAGTAACCGCAGAACCGGCCATTAACTTGTATATTCACGTTAACTATAAATACGTTCATGCTGTTGGTACAGGAGCTAAAACTGAAACCAAGATTTCTTTCCCTAGAGTCTTAGACCGATAGGATGAAATAAAAGTAATGGTTTTGATGATAAACCTAAATTTTATAGTACATGAAAACCGTGCCAAACTTGAAGTTTCTCGAACAAGAAGCGGTTGAAAAAGTAACACAAAAGTGCATGTCAGCGCACGCAATATTTAAATTATTGGATAATTATATATTTTTGCGTCGATATAAATGTTTTGGATACTTTTGTCAAACTTTTTCATGTATATGCCGCACAGTCAGCTTTAACTGACAGACATGCGATACAAAGTTCGAGTACAGAAGCCAACTAGTTTTTCAAAAAGTTGTTCCTCTTACGAACCATTTTGCTCCGTTGAGCCGGATTTTAATATTGGCTACAGATTTGATTCAGTACAATTCTAGAGTAAAAACGAGGCAGAAATATTATAGTTCAGATTCAATAATTTGGAAAGTGAATGTATCACTAAGACTCAGCTTGACCAAAAACAAAGTGGAGAACTTTATAGAACTAAAACTGCTTCTGCATCAGGCTCAAATGTATTTTATAGTAAGAAACAGCTTATAAACCTCACATCGTCAAGCGTTTGTTTTGGTTACATAATATTCAAGTTCACTTTACTTGGAGTTTTTGGTCGCAACATAAATTTATCTTCCTTTTCAACATCAATAATAGATTACTGAACGCTGGGAGGCCCATCCGTGATACTCGTATATGTTCGGCTATTTTTCCCAAATCCAGTTGTCGTGCAGGTCTAAGTTCCAAAACTCGTTATTTCTAGAGTAAAACTTCATTGAAATGAACTAAGATATTATAAGACAAGACATCAACAAAGGCATTTTTAATCCACAATAAATATTCATGTCCAGCATGACAACGTAAAAGCTACATCCATAAGCGTTCATAAATAAGTCAATGAGCGTCGCCTTCATGCATCAGTATGGGTAGAGATAAAACGCGCACTTACTATGACCAATCCGACTACAATGATTTCGTAGCATAATATTAGCAAAAAACCGTTCCAATTATTAATTCAAATTCCAAAGTAGAGCAAACGGCAACAACAATGAAATAGAAATGTTGGGGCAACTGACAGAGCATTCGATTTGCTTTAAGTGTTTTATCTACGACCAGCACAAAATCTTAGAATGCATGCTCTCGCGAGACTGAATTTCTCAATGAAAAATTAACTAACTTGAAGTTCAAGGTCTAAATGATTGAAATTTATATTAAAATTACATGTGAGATGGACGGAGAGGCAACGCACTATCTGCATTGTCACCGAGAGCTCTTTACCTATAAACTAAAATTAATAACCAATAATATTTTGCAAACTTGGGGAAAACTTTACAGCTAAATACTAAAATAATTTACAAACGACCCAATTTCATGCTTACACAAGTTGAAACCGGTAAATGAACGTCGGTAATATAGCAGTATTTTTGGAGTTTCAGATTAGAAATAAAGGTTTGCTATCTTAGTCGTCTTTTATTAGAGTGGCAATTAATGCATGCAATTCAGAATGTTCCGCTCACACAGTTGCACAAACCTAACATTTAAGTTAACGGCAGGATTATCTGAAATTAGATTAAGGTGCGTCTATCTCAAATATAGGACAGAATCACTGATGGGTTTACCAGCTGTTAACAGCTGACTCTTTACTTTGACTAGGAGAATAAATTGGAACAGCTGAGGGAAAAGGGCAAGGGTCGATCGAGGCAGGCAACCACTCATATCGGACTACATTTGGTTGTTATGAAGCAAGGGGTAACATGGTCAACAACGGTCTAGCGTCGCACTACTAAGATAGAACCGACACTTCTCATAGTAACTAAGGATAATTGTATACTCAATAGAATAACATATGAGCGCATTTACTGATGCATCAATCGTCGGCAGCATCTATCTTGCTATGATTCGAAAAAGAAGCACCGTCTATACAACAACCAAGACCTAGGTGGGTCTGTCTTACAACCAAGTCCTGTCAGGCCTGGGAGGGTCTGTCTTGCAACCAAGATCTAGCAGATCAATAGTGATCAGCTACTACCAGTGCCTATCATTCAGAAAATATTCACCGCCTGGTTTACAAACTTCCACGCGATAAATTTCTCCAATACAATCCAAATCACTTGTCATAATGCGCGCGGGTTACAATGTTGTCGTCCTCAATAATTCATGAGACTTGAGACTTCAGTTCGAATCACGAGATTGTTATGACGACTGTACGGATTGCGTTGTAAATTTTTGCGTGTTCGACATAAAATTGTCGAACACGCTGGTCGACTCTATGTTTAGCGTAAAAAACAGTGGATGACGTCGTGTTCAACGAAACAACGTTTTTATTGACATTTCCGACTCCAGATGCCCATACGAGGTGTTGCGAAAAACAAAATGTGCTGTTCTGTTTTAATCACGAAGACGCGTGTACTCTGAGCGCGAGGCGATTGTACAGGGTTATTCTATATGATGGACTCAAGTTAAAAAATTCGTTTTATTCAAGTGTGAATTTAAAGTGAACAATTTATACACCACTGAAAAGAAAAAGATTAAATTTTAAATATTCATAAATATCAGAAATGGCCCCCAACGGCATCTTGATATGCGAAACTTTTCGAAACAGTCACTTCCTGAGCGTTGGGTAGCTCAGTAACAGAAGATATGCTTTCTCTTTACCGTTTAGATGTTTGCCATGAAGCAAAAGGGGGACATATTGTAAATTTATGTTTATGTAAAAATGTATATTTCTCTTTACATTGGTGCATAAATTCTTAATTTTGAATTTGTACTTAAAGAAATACTAAATTATTAGATTGAGTCCATCATTCATAATAACCCTATATTGTGCAGAGTCAGATCAGAAGTAATTGTACAAGTAATTTATTAGTTAATTATGCTTTAATTTAGGTTTTTGAAGCATTTCGGCTCAATCTCATGTACATAACACTAACAAGCAGCTTTGTACTCGTCCAAAACTCACATTGCGAATTCTTTTAGGAATTGCACAATTAGTGTAACTAGATAATATTTACAGCATGCGTGAAACAAATAGTAGTAGAATAACATCATAAGAAAGTACATCAAGCCTGCAAGCAATTTCATTCTCTTTCATGTCTTCTGCGGTATTTAATGAATCTTCGTAGACTATACTTTAAGATTACCTCATAAAATATTCAACATGCTACTGGCATCTATCAGTTGATCAGAATTTTTCAACGGCACACCACACAACAAAAATTGTTGTGACATTGGCATCAAGGCGCATAAGTTCAGTAATAAGAACCACTATTATGAAATACAATACTCAGCGCCAGAACACATGACAAATGCCACTGTGTGACAATAATCGTTTCTGGCAGAAAACTACACTGAAGCTGTCGCAGCATCGTCAATAAAATTCGATATTTTTTGTTATTGACAAGTCTTGGTCGTTTTAAAAGGAGTACCGAAAAATCCTTTCTAAAAGTCGATATACTTTAACTAGTTTTTGTATGAATTCAATTAGGGTACAAAAACTGAGACTATAGGGATTTAAATATTTTCTAGAGCTCTACACGTCAATAAGTTACGCAGTATAACTAATATCATTATTCTCTTTATATCGCAAGTCCACCAAGAATTTAAAAGCAAATAAGATGTCATGTAAATTCATAATACACATCTTTAGTGAAAATGCTTTGGAAACCAGGATGGTGATACCGATGATGGAGCTGGTCTCTGAAACGTTTTAATTGGTGATATGAATTTACTTGACGTCTTCTTAGCTTTTTAAATTTTAAGTAGCGCAGTATTGTAGACAAGCCCTGCGTTGGTTCTTTTCGACGTTACTTAATGGACATCAATTGCTTGATATGACTCAGAGGAAGATCAGTGAAGGCTTGCCCAGTTTTGCGGCAAATATCTAACACTAACTCGTTACTTTCTTACACACCAGTTCGTTGGATCGACAATAAATCTAAGTCAGACAAGGCATACATTTTGAGATTTAATCCTCGTGCGGGTAATGAAAGCCGGGGTAATTCTCGAGCACCTGTTGTGCGGAGCTCCCAAGACTGCTTGGCATTAGACTTTCAGATGTAATCTTTGAGGCAATTTAGCCTCAAAAATGTCCGAGAGTTGAGTGAGGGGAGATAAAGCTCATGAAAATTTAACCCGCAAATCCCCGAGAACTGGTCCAATTTTTGTTTCGATAAAGTTTCAACTTAATTTTATTTTATCAAATTTAATAATTTTGATAAACAACAATATTATAGACAAAAATGTACCAAGTGATGAGGACGACGAAGTGTAAGATTTTGTATGGATCAATTTACAGGAAATAAAGAGCTGTATGGTCGTTAACTTCCGTCCCGTAAGAAAAATCTAACCAGTACTAATGAGAGACGCCCGTTAAGTGCTGCAATAATAATCCCTTCATTTCAGCATAATTCTAAACGATTCTATATTCAAAATTGTCATCAATAAATCCTATTAACAGAACACAAAAAACTGTTGAATAGACGCAACTCCTAGCAGCTCCCGAATGTCGAGGCTTAATATTTTTAAACTATAAAATCGCCGAACTTGAAGTCAAAATTCACTAAGTAGTTCAGACTAATATTATGACTACAGCGGCTATTGGTTATCATGTCTACGCTACCTACAGTCTACACTAGGTTCGTGGGAAAGCACTTGTATGTGAGCGATCCAGGTGCTTGTAGAAATACAATTCTCCTTGACTTCTCAAGCTTAAATTTCACTAATATACTTCACAACAAATTTGATATTCTGCTGTTATCAAACATCGAAACGAATAGAGCGGTTAAGTTAAAGGGTACGAAGATGATATAATTAAAACACATAAAGTTCTAGGAGCAGGGGAGGAATTATTCATACAATCAGAGAAATGAGTGAGATTTTTTTTAAATAGTGATGCATTTTATTGCCCAGGTGTTTGTCATCGTGGCCTAGTTTGGCCTTTCAGTGCTCTTTCTGCTCGTGCTGGGGGCGAGAAAATGTTTCTCCTCAATTTGGACAACATGACCCGTTAATTTTTCTGCCTTTTAAAGACTGCACTCGAGCAGTGTGATATTTGTTCAACTCTAAATTATGCAGAACACGACAGTAGGAAATAGAAGTCTTTCTCATTAACATGTGTTTATAGTTCAACACTGAGCACATGGCAGTTCAGACACATGGCTTACACGCGAAGTTCTTGTGCCGTCAAAATTACTTCCGTGAGAGAATTCTCGTTATTTTTTTTAGTTTATTTGAGGTAAATTCAAGAGGAAAATACTGCCAAGTCTCGAGATTGTACACGGAAACGTCGCTAGGGAGCAAGGGCAAGGTAAACGTGGAAAGCATAAATTGTTTAGAGCTTTTTACGTTACAGCTAATTCAACAATAACGACCAGATAACAATAACATTAAGTCGCTAGAAAATCTTAACAAGACAAAAAAGTCAATCTTGTCTCTATATTCAAAAGTCATAACACGAAATTGATAATGCCATACCAACCACAAAATCCTTACCGATCAAGCCAGCTGTCTTATCACTTTCATTGTTCAGCGACCATTGCTCGCTGCAGTAAATAAGTTAGAATAATACATCGAGTTGAAGTATATAAAAGTTCGCTACATTAAATGTTCCAAATAAAACTCATCACAAAAAACAGAACTGCTTATCATGCATTAGAGCTTAGGTAGTTTCTGCTGCTGTACACGCGCGGCTGACAGTACAGTTCGCGGCTGACAGTTCGCTGACAGCAAGACAGTAATATTCACAGTCACTTCACCTCGGTAAATGATCAGGAACTTTAAGGCATTTAATTTATTATTCAGTCATCTTCTGTTTCGACCCAGTCCGGGGCCGCCCAGTCTGGCATCTTCGTCTCAAAATGCCACCCCGGGCCCTGTAAATACGAGAAAAATATTCTTTCAGGGCTTGCGCTTCTCTCTTTGACTAGAAAAAAAATTTCTCGACTCAAAAATGAAATTTTGTAATATGTATACACTTATAAACAACTCGATCTAAAGCAGAATACAGTTTGGGTCAATAAGTCTTTTGACATACCTATTCAAAGAACTGCCTCATGAAATATTATTATACATTTTCAAACATACTTAATTATACGATATTACTTAGTAAGATTGGGTCATCACTCACACTATACTTGAGAGCGTGCAGAAACATGACGAGATCTTTAGGCTTGGGGTCTCTGTACCGAACTTTGCACTCGTAACAGTTCTTGTCGACCGTCTTAAGGCTCGGCTTGAAGGAGTAGTCGAAGCGGTTGTGCTCTATAACCCCAGTACCGGACGTCTTGTAGCCGTGGTTGCCGGTGTAGTAGTTGGTAGCTGAGCAGTTCTTACTTGGGTTGTACGGAGCTATGGTGCAGTTACCATTAGGACTTGCAGGAGACTGCAAGTCTTCAGCAAGTTTAGTGTTGTCAATACTCTTGTCCAGGCCACCTGAAGGATGGAATTGGAACTTGTGCAAGATAGGTAGTGGCAGGTAATAGGTAGTGGCAGGTAATAGGTAGTGGCAGGTAATAGGTCTGTCTCTTATACACATCTAGATGTGTATAAGAGACAGGTGCACTCGAGCAGTGTGATATTTGTTCAACTCTAAATTATGCAGAACACGACAGTAGGAAATAGAAGTCTTTCTCATTAACATGTGTTTATAGTTCAACACCTGTCTCTTATACACATCTAGATGTGTATAAGAGACAGGGTCTGCAATGTTAGTAATTATTGCGATGATAATCATTATTGTGGTGCACGTCTGCAATGTTAGTAATTATTGCGATGATAATCATTATTGTGGTGCACGTCTGCAATGTTAGTAATTATTGCGATGATAATCATTATTGTGGTGCACGTCTGCAATGTTAGTAATTATTGCGATGATAATCATTATTGTGGTGTACGCCTGCAATAATAATAAATATTGTGGTAAAGTCTGCAATGATAATCATTTCTGCGGTGAACGTAGAGCTAAGCTGCTATATCATCAAGTTTACGCAGATATTGAGAATATTACCCAAAACTATGATGTCACGAATAAATAATTTACCATAAAAACGATACCACAAATAATGACAACTAAAATATAATTGCACGTTGTGCGTTGTAATTATATAATAATATCGTAAAAAATAGTTAATTGAGATAATGGGCACGGTATAAAATAATAAAATTCGGGAAGCTGACATTACAATTTGCAAAAAATGTGTTCCGTGAGACAGAGCAGCGCGGTGTTAACCTGCTAGTTGATGCTAACAACAATTGCTGTAATTAGCCACGCATTAAATTGATTACAAACAATGCTGTAATTACGGGCAACTGAGGTCACGACTGCGAGTAATTTGCGTCATCAGCACTCAGAAGAATGAGTGAAACTTTGTCGAAATAGCAATGCATTTCATGCCGTTGTGTGGGTCAATTTAACCAAATTTGGTCAAACAAAATTGGTGTATTAGTCCGCTCTTTGCCCGTGATGCGGGTAAAGTAGTGCGTCACTATTCAGACAATATGATTCATTAATTTTCCTAAGTGAGCGGCCCGCGTCGACGATCACATGTCTCGGGACGCGGTATCCATGGCAACGGCGTCAGCGTTTCCATGGCAACAACAAATCAAAACACAGCGTCACACGACACCGCTGAGGCCAGCCAAATATGCAGTCATTTAGTCTGCTAACAATCTGAGTTTTAATGATGAATCCGAAGCTCTATGGGCATGCAAGACAATCAGCCCCATCATCCGCAGACTGATTTTTCAAACAATTGATGGTAGTTAAAAATAAAGATTTTTTTGTGAGTATTTTCATATTTTAATTTATTTTCAAAATCTCATCGAATGAGATGAAAATACAGATCATTAAAACGAAATATTTATTAACAGCGAAATAAATAGAGAACACTCAGTTGTATCTTTGTGGCTCGTGTGGCGGCAGCGGCTTGGTGGCGCGTGTGGCAGCAGAGGCTTGGTGGTGCGTGTGGCAGCAGAGGCTTGGTGGCGTGTGTGGCAGCAGAGGCTTGGTGGCGCGTGTGGCAGCAGAGGCTTGGTGGCGCGTGTGGCAGCAGTGGCTTGGTGGAGCGTGTGGCAGCAGTGGCTTGGTGGCGCGTGTGGCAGCAGTGGCTTGGTGGTGCGTGTGGCAGTGCCGTGGTGCGTGTGGCAGCAGTGGCGCATGTGGCAGTGCAGTGGCTCATGTGGCAGCAGTGGTGCGTGTGGCAGTGCAGTGGCGAGTGTTGCAGCGCAGTGGCGTGTGTGGCAGTGTAGTGGCTCATGTGGCAGCAGTGGTGCGTGTGGCAGTGCAGTGGCGCTGCAGCTCGGCATTGATTCCGTTCGTCGCAAGACGCGCACTGCGGACTGTGGGTGGAGGGGCGGGGAGACGTGACGTCCACCCCCCACCACGACACGGCGCACACTGCCTCCTATAAGCCACGCTCCCTTGTATATATACCCGAGTTTGACCGATATTCCATTTACGCTAATTAATCCTGTTTAAATTTTATGTCTTAATATTTCATACTGATAAAACATTATATTTCGTATTATTTTATACTAATAAAAGCCTGAATTAGTAGTTAAATGTTATAGTGACTTTTTTTTTTGCAGCGAGAGATCATGAGAAGTGAAAAAATGTCTAAAATTTAACTCGAACTCGAGATCAAACTCATGTGTTCGCTGCTCGTTTGCGCGCCAATTAGACTTATTATCTGCGCAAGTCTGAGACATATGCTGCCAAGGGAGAAAATTTTGCTTGTTTTTGATGTCAGTGCACGTGAAAATAACGCAATTTATTATTCAATAATATTGAAATAATTGCAAAGGTGCGAGTTTTCGGAACACGAATAGCTCCATTATCTGGATGAAGTGTCGAAAGCAGTGGCGACTAAGAAGAACACTATCCTGGTCTAATGCTACCAAGGTGAGCGCATTATCCTGGTCTAATGCTACCAAGGTGAGCGCATTATACTGGTCTAAGGATACCAAGGTGAGCGCATTATCCTGCTCTAAGGATAGCAAGGTGAGCGCATTATCCTGGTCTAAGGATAGCAAGGTGAGCGCATTATCCTGGTCTAAGGATAGCAAGGTGAGCGCATTATCCTGGTCTAATGCTACCAAGGTGAGCGCATTATCCTGGTCTAAGGATACCAAGGTGAGCGCATTATCCTGGTCTAAGGATAGCAAGGTGAGCGCATTATCCTGGTCTAATGCTACCAAGGTGAGCGCATTATCCTGGTCTAAGGATACCAAGGTGAGCGCATTATCCTGGTCTAAGGATACCAAGGTGAACGCATTATCCTGGTCTAAGGATACCAAGGAGAGCGCATTATCCTGGTCTAAGGATACCAAGGAGAGCGCATTATCCTGGTCTAAGGATACCAAGGTGAGCACATTATCCTGGTTTAAGGATACCAAGGTGAGCACATTATCCTGGCTGGAGGATACCTTGGCCCTCATCAGGAACGAGTGGCCGGCAGTAAATATCCGATTATTGATAATCGATGCCCCGACTGGGAAAACAATGGAATGCGTTTATTGCCTTCACGCTCGTGGCGTCAGAGTGCAACGGCAGCAAGAATGAGTCGTACACTCCTAATGAGGCATGCGTGGTACGTACAGAGTAAAGAATGCGCCGTACACTCCTAATGAGGCATGCGTGCCATGCGGACAGAGTGAAGAATGCGCCGTACACTCCTAATGAGGCATGCGTGCCATGCGGACAGAGTGAAGAATGCGCCGTATACTTCTAATGAGGCATGCCAGGTATGCGTACAGAGTGAAGAATGCGCCGTACACTCCTAATGACACCTGCGTGGCATGATTATGGACATTGCCAGTTGATATATTGTTTTTACTCTAGTTTGTGGGGCAGGTAATTAGTCTTAAAGCAATGTTTCGTGATTTAAAAAAATTACTGAGCTATAGTGACAAAAATCCCCGGTAAATTTCGCGGTTATGGTGCAAGATATTTAAATTCAATCAAATCTAAAATCGAGAAATTGAAAAATTAACATCAATTATTTTTTTGACTAAACTAGGTACATAAATCCAATAATATTTTTTTCGGCACTAATAGGAAATATGTCTAACAAAAAGTCACACGAGGAGAATTTCGATGCACATTCGTCCCCGGCGGGCGCTGTCACAAGGAAGGCTGTGCAGCAGACGGTATTGGCTGAGAAATGCACTAAGATGCACGACTCCCTAGAGGAGCTGATGCTTTCTGAGCTAAAGCGTATATCTGGAAATAACTGTTTTTGAGCTGAAGTGTTTGAGCTGAAGTGTGTCTGAGATGAAGTGTGTTTGAGATGAAGTGTGTCTGAGATGAAGTGTGTTTGAGATGAAGTGTGTTTGAGATGAAGTGTGTCTGAGATGAAGTGTGTTTGAGATGAAGTGTGTCTGAGATGAAGTGTGTTTGAGCTGAAGTGTGTCTGAGATGAAGTGTATCTGAGCTAAAATGTATCTGAGCTAAAGTGTATCTGAGCTAAAGTGTGTCTGAGCTGAAGTGTGTCTGAGCTGAAGTGTGTCTGAGCTAAAGTGTGTCTGAGCTGAAGTGTGTCTGAGCTGAAGTGTGTCTGAGCTAAAGTGTGTCTGAGCTGAAGTGTGTCTGAGCTAAAGTGTGTCTGAGCTGAAGTGTGTCTGAGCTAAAGTGTGTCTGAGCTAAAGTGTGTCTGAGCTGAAGTGTGTCTGAGCTGAAGTGTGTCTGAGCTGAAGTGTGTCTGAGCTGAAGTGTGTCTGAGCTAAAGTGTGAGTAGTTTGTCTCCGGAATTCATATGCTATAGCAAAGCATTAGTGAGCTGAACAGGAGACCGTGAGCGCGAGCAGCAAAAATTACACAAAAATGCGTGAGAATTTGTCCTAATATTGATGCACTTGTGTGGGTCATCTCAACCCATTTAACCTGACGCAAGGGCGTATCAGTTATACGTACATCAAGTGTCACTATTTGGACCATATGACCCGTTATTTTTTCTGAGTGTTTCGCCCAACAAACTTTCCGCCAGAGTAAGGCAAGCGGCAACGCATTTCTTCAGGCGCTCCTGTCCAAGGCAATGATTATTTTCAACTCAAAACTTGGCAGAGAAGACATGTTTTAAGACAGGTTTTAGACACGAATTTTAAGTTTAATATAGGAGCAGAAATCCATGGGAATGCCTCACCCAATTGGTTCAACGATGGCAAACTTGCACGAGATTCGTTCAATTTTGGTCTCTATTGTGCGGTTCTTTGGACGGTCGAGCGGAAGGAAGGAAGGTAGATAGTACAGCTCCAGGAAACACAAGTCACGAAAAATGAAGGAAATTCAAAGAAAGCTTTGCATTTACATGTGATTGAATGACTAGCAAAAAGGGACTGGATAACTAGTACAATGGGACTGGATGACTAGCACAATGGGACTGGATGACTAGCACAATGAGACTGGATGACTAGTACAATGGGATTGGATGACTAACACAAGTCAAGGGAAAGAAAGCAAAGCAAGGCAATTCTAGGGAAGCTTTAGATTTAAATGAGGCCACGAGCGCACCACACGAACATCACGCCCCGCAGAAATTACTTCGAAATTCTTTCAATTCAAATGCAGCTTAACTTAAATTATAGTATATATAGGACGTAGGAGAGAGAAGTACAGACTAGCACAGCATGAGTGCTACGTAATGCTACACACTGGCATGACTAGCACAGCATGAGTGCTACGTAATGCTACACACTGCATGACTAGCACAGCATCAGTGCTACGTAATGCTACACACTGGCATGACTAGCACAGCATCAGTGCTACGTAATGCTACACACTGCATGACATAGCACAGCATGAGTGCTACGTAATGCTACACACTGCATGACTAGCACAGCATGAGTGCTACGTAATGCTACACACTGGCATGACTTGCACAGCATCAGTGCTACGTAATGCTACACACTGCATGACTAGCACAGCATGAGTGCTACGTAATGCTACACACTGCATGACTAGCACAGCATGAGTGCTACGTAATGCTACACACTGCATGACTAGCAGACTAGCACAGCATCGATGCTGCGCATTGGCTGACTATAGCAAATCAGTGCGAATATTCCAGCCAAGAATAACCACATGCTGTGACCACAACGAATAATAAAATGAGAAATTTAAATTTAAAAAAGTAATTAATGCGAAAAATCAGGAGACACAATGCGCAATCAGCTTTGCGACTGAACGCTCCACAAACCCAAATTGCAGTTCACGCTCTTAACATCGCCATTAAAAAAAAGGCCCCAAGTTAAACAACTGCCCGGATTTCTGCAAAGTTCAATGGAAAGCTTCAAATTATTCTTCGGGAACGTCATTTACAGAGCGCAGAATACGAAATATCGGAAGCAGCTCGACCTGCCTCGTGGGTCTCGTAATGACGCGATTGAGAGCCGACAAATTAGCGCCATTCATCGACCGGTGAATGGGGACGTGATTCATCACAAGCTAGAGCTCTCAAAGGACAGAATTATCTTCCTAGAACACCCTTCAAACTTTACTAAAGATTTATATCTTTGTATTGCCTTCAAACGTCATCTTGATATTAATGGTCGAAAGATACATAAACATCACCGAACGGCCAAGAGTGAGGCGGGAGTCAAGAGAAAATATCTACTGAAGACATTCAGTAGCCTGTCTACTGAAAGTAGAAAGAAAGTAGTCTGTCTACTGAAAGTAGAAAGAAAGTAGTCTGTCTACTGAAAGTAGTCTGTCTACAAAAGGTCTACTGAAGACATAAATGCCTACTGAAGGCATACAGTACCCGGAGGTTTCAGATGATAAGTAAGGTTACTTCAAGAGCTCGGATCTGTTCATATATACATATATGACAGATCCGAGTAGGCATTTAGGTAAGAATAGCATTAACAACGATCAATGTATCTGTGCAAAAAAAAATTAATTTTCTCTGCGCTTCAGACAACTGAATTCGTCACATCTCTACGAGCATCGCTGCGTAGGAAAGATAAGAGCGATGTTGCGTTGTGGCAAACGTTTAGTGACCTGAGAATTGAGTCGGCAAAAAATGATGCAGTAAAATAAAAATATAAAAGAAAGTTTCAACGGTATTTGTGGAAGTGTGAAAATTATTCATAAGCTTTCAGAACTTCATGTTATACGAAGCTTACGATTAACAGTGAGCATAAACGGGCATAGTGTCCTGCAACTTTCCCTGGGCTTTATCACCAACTTTTCAATAGTTGTTCAACCAACATCCACCAAGCTGTGTCACTAACTCCGTAGCTAAACTCCAAACTTCACAATAAATTTGTAACCAACTTTTTCCGTAGCTTAACTGCGAACTTTCCCACGGTTGTGCCACCAACTTTAACCAAGCCAAACTTTCACGTTTCATAACTCCTTCGGTAACAACATGATGACTACACAACTGTTTTGATTGCGCCAGAGAGAGATATGGTTCAGTTTTGTGGATAAAATAGATAGTTACTGTTGAAGGCAGGTGACTTAAGTGGCAAAGTTATAGGCATTGACGGTATCTGTGTCACTATAACTTCCTCGTATCCTATAAGTTCCATCTTCCGCATAGTTATGCTATACTAACTTCCACACAGCTACGCCTCTAACTTTACTGGTATCGAGGCGTAGCTGGTATTACTGGTATGAGACTGCTACCTACGGTCGAAACCCTTTCAAAAGTAAATTCAGCGAGAATCAATATCTAATAGAATTATTTCGTAATAGAATAATTCCATTACGAAATGGGGGCGTATGAAGTCACATTCAATAAAGATCGTACTGTAATGAGGAAAATTACAGACAATAAATAGTTGGCCGACCTATACCAGCTGTCACATGGGTTTTTCGTGACATGTGGTCGAAAGTTAGCAAGGCAGTGGCTTCGGCAGTTAGCACGGTAGTTGGCACGGCAGTTATTACGGCAGTTAGCACGGCAGTTATTACGGCAGTTATTACGGCGGTTAGCACGGCAGTTGGCACGGCAGTTATTACGGCGGTTAGCACGGCAGTTATTACGGCAGTTATTACGGCGGTTAGCACGGCAGTTATTACGGCAGTTAGCACGGCAGTTGGCACGGCAGTTATTACGGCGGTTAGCACGGCAGTTATTACGGCAGTTAACAGTTAGCACGGCAGTTAGCACAGCAGTTAGCACAGCAGTTAGCACGGCAGTTAGCACAGCAGTTATGCACGGCAGTTAGCACGGCAGTTAGCACGGCAGTTAGCACGGGCTCAAGAGTTAGGCAATTACCGTGAGACGTTCGAATTTTGCGAGGGTCGGTGATTACTGGACCGGAACGGCCACCGCGAGGGCGTTGAGAGGTCCGCGGCTAATTAAACTGAGCCCGTGGAGCTAAGTTCAATTAATACTTTGCCTATCAAGAAACCTATAGAAACCTTACATAATATTGGGCAGCAGCGCGGATTGGCTACAAAAAAGATAATTATAAAGCTGAGCCACGCAAAGTCACGGATAAAAGTTTAAGACCTCAATGTTCAAAGTCTCGATGACCTCGGGAATGATAAAAGCAAGATTTCGCTAAGAGTTTATCATCAGCAGCACACTTAATTTTATTCGCGCAGCAAGGCCAGGTTCACACCATTTTGCTGGGCATTTGCCAATCTCGGCTCAGTCCAATGTTCTTTAATGTATTTCTATAGAAGCATTCACAACAGCCGGGCATATGTACCTTCCATGCCCATGGTGTGAATGCTTCCATGAAAAAATGCATTAAAGAATATTGGACATGAAGGTGACTGGCATATGCCTGGCACGGGCCCGGCAGTATGGTGTGGACCGGCCAGAGACGCAAACGTCGGTCCATCAACATTCGGATTACTGATGAGTGTCTGGGTTAGGCAGCACCAGCAGTATATACGAGACCAGTAATACATATGAAGGTCGTTGTAAGAAGAGAGCGTTATTGGATAACATGAATTTCGCCACTTGAAGATACCATAAATTTTCCAATAATATCATAGTGGCACCAGCAGCCATCACAATGGAGATCACAATGGAGATAAATGTGATCTTTTTTCAAGACCAAATCAAAATGAGACTCGATAAACCCTTGCAACTGACCCATATTACAAATTAATTGAATAGGTAGAAGTCCTTCATCCTCCCAGTTAACTGCATCATCCTTTGCTACTTTAATCCTGCTAGTTACCTTCACCCTCCTAGTTGCCTGCATCATCCTAGCTACTATAATCCTGCTAGTTACCTTCACCTAGTTGCCTGCATCATCCTAGCTACTATAATCCTGCTAGTTACCTTCATCCTCCTAGTTACCTGCATCATCCTCGCCACTTTAATCCCGCTAATCACCTTCATCATCCTAGCTACTATAATCCTGCTAGTTACCTTCATCCTCCTAGTTACCTGCATCATCCTCGCCACTTTAATCCCGCTAATCACCTTCATCATCCTAGCTACTATAATCCTGCTAGTTACCTTCACCCTCCTAGTTGCCTGCATCATCCTAGCTACTATAATCCTGCTAGTTACCTTCATCATCCTAGTTACCTGCATCATCCTAGTTACTTTCATCCTGCTAGTTACCTTCATCCTCCAAGTTACCAGCATCATCCTAGCTACTTTAATCATGCTATTTACCTTCATCATCCTGGTCATCCGCAGCCCTGGGCTTGAACATGGAGTACTCGACGTCGCCATCCATGCCCAGCCAGTTCTCTGCGTTGTGGATCTTGATGAGGTCGTGGATGAGCTCGTCGTCCGTCTTGCCCGTGATGCCGCCCTTGCCCTTGTTGGGGCCGAACACCGTGTGGTTGTACAAAGGGTCGTTTACGATGGGGTAACCTAGGGGGAAAGGGGTCAATGGTCATGACGTCGAATGGTGAATTTATCGGTGAAAATGTTAAAAGAGGGTAACGTTGTAAGGACGTGCAAATTGTCATGGCGTCGAATGGTCGAATTATCAATGAAAAGTCGTTCACGATTGAAAAACTGTTCTAGTGGTCTAATCACCTAAGAAAACATTAAAACATGATCAGTCGTCAATGCAATCATGAATAATTGATAATGAGAATTACAGTAAGTAGGTAATGGGTAAATTTCGATCGTGGAACGAAAGTATAATGTTTATATATACTCCCCTGGGTGTAGCGTGTGTGTAGAGATGATGGGAGGGTATTTATTTTCGGTGTTTGAGGAGAGTGTAAAGATACTGAACGACGATGCAGTCATTGCAAGGTCGAGTAATGTAACGGAGACAAGCGTATGTTCCCGTTCACCCAAGCCTCCTCACTTAGTTCACCCCACTCCCACAGGTACCTCCCAATCTACGAGTAGCCCCTCACTCTGCCAGAAGCTCCCCATACCCCAAGTCTCCTTAAGTTTCCTCTTCCCACTCCCCCAGGTGCCTGCAATACCCCAACTTCCCCCACTCACCCAGGTACTGGAGGTGCACGCGTACATGTTTCACCTAAATCTTCCCACTACCCCAGATACCCCGACTCCTCAAGGTTCCTTTTCCCACTCCCCCACTCCCTTCCCACTCCCACTCAGGGTTCCTCTTCCCACTCCCCCAATCCCTTCAAGTTCCCACTCCCACTCAGGGTTCCTCTTCCCTCTCCCCCACTCCCTTCCCACTCCCACTCAGGGTTCCTCTTCACACTCCCCCACTCCCTTCCCACTCAGGGTTCCTCTTCCCACTCCCCCACTCCCTTCCCACTCTCACTCAGGGTTCCTCTTCCCACTCCCCCAATCCCTTCAAGTTCCCACTCCCACTCAGGGTTCCTCTTCCCACTCCCCCACTCCCACTCAGGGTTCCTCTTCCCACTCCCCCACTCCTCAACTTCCCCCACTCACCCAGATACTGGAGGTGCACGCGTATATGTTTCACCTAAATCTTCATACTACCCCAGATACTCCGACTCCTCAGGGTTCCTCTTCCCATTCCCCACTCCCAATTTCCCCCACTCACCCAGATACTGAAGGTGTACGCGTATCTGGTGCATACGCCCCGTCCTGGGTTTGCAGAGCACGACAGAGGACGTGCCATTGTAGGACAGAAGCTGAAACTCCGTCTTGCAGTCCTTGCCGGTAGGGGAGACCTTACACACTCCTATCTTGTAGCTCACCACTTCTATTGGTTCATTGCACTCTACCAGCCCTCTGTTGGGAACAAGAACTCTATTTTAGAAATAAATCATAGAAGAAGTTTTAATATTCAACTATATTTTACGTAGCACTGCTATTCTATATGTCACTATGAAAGTTGAGCGAGTATGTGGTGCAATAGAAGTAAGAAGTACAATATTTAGCAATTTAACACAGTTACTTAGTCATAGCTACATATAGTTTAGTTGCCTCACGTTCACATTCAAGTAGGCTGCAGTACAACGTTACTCACCACTACAGCCCCAAATAGTTCATCACTACTTCATATCATCACTTATCACATAATCCCTTATCACTACATCATATGCACCACACCACAGCATCACACAACACCACACCACAGCACCACACCCCCCAACACTCACGAAGGGAAGCGGCCGTCCACCCTGCAGACGTATTGCTTGGTCACCTGCCGTGTCCTGATCATCACATCATCCCTCATCACTACATCAGCACACCACACCACACCACCACACCACAACACCACACCACATCACCACACCCCCCAACACTCACGAAGGGAAGCGGCCGTCCACCCTGCAGACGTATTGCTTGGTCACCTGCCGTGTCCTGATCTGCTGTTCCATCTCCCGCGCCTTCTTCGGCGTTCGTCCGAACAACAGTAAACCTGTGTGATAAAAACATTTGTAATACAATTAAATAATTTATAGAAGAGAAAATTCGGGTCGACTTAGAGATCGGCATAACTATTAGGACGACAATTGAATAGTTAAATTACCTGCATTGCTTGCTAAGCGCTCATGTCAAAATAACAGTAATGCCGGCCATCAGAAACAACAAGCATTGTAGGATTTTGAGGACCAGTGTTTCAATCCTACCAAGGATTGAAACAAGAATCCAGCATTCTGATTTGTGCACTATTTGAGCAGCACCGACTGCCTTGAATTTGCATATGTCGGGCCGAAATCGCAGAATGGCTGATTCTATGGAATCGGCCGCCAGTTGCCGAATTTGTAGAATCAGCATTTCGTTGCTGATTCAGAAAATCGGACGCTAGAGTTAGGAAAGGTTTGGCCAAGTTCGGTCAAGTTCCTTTATATTTAAATATTAAAAAAAACTTGGCTGACTGACATGGCCCCAGACTCCTATAGTATTGAAATTCTGATGCTACATATCCGGCAACTAGCTGCGGATTCCATAGAATCAGCAATTCCGCGATTTCGGCACGACACATACGCAGCTGAGATGAAGACATCACTTGCAACAGCTTATCGCCGCACTTACAGAAATAAATGATACTTTGTCCAAATAGTAATTTCGTTTTTTTTTACTGACACAGTTTTGCCAGATCGATCCTGACCCAGTTTTGCGCCAGTCTAACTGCCGCTACCTGCTCGTGTTGTGGATAAGAAAGTGTGTCACTATTTGAACAACATGACCCCATAATTTTCCTGAGTGTAGTGATGGCCGGCATTCGTCGTCAGAAGGCGGCTTCTCTACAAACCAATTAATTCAGAGCATTTCATCTCCTGATACTGCAGAGCTAAGCTCTGACGCGACAGAGTATGCGTATGTTACCGTTTCGAGTTCAGAGATCTCACTGAGATTGTGCAGTCTCAGTCCAATATAACATTTATCTTGAGTATATATAGTTGCAAATTCATTTCAGGCAAATTTTTAGAAGCAGTAATGGAAAAGCACTTAAGACGAAAATTATTAATATCCTTGGTGCGTAGGTCACCGTTGATGTTTCGAGTTCCAAGATAGATCTCACTGAGATTGTGCAGTCTCAGTACAATATAAAATATATCTTTAGTATATATAGTTGCAAATTCATTTCAGGCAAATTTTTGGAAGCAGTAATGGAAAAGCACTTAAAATAAAAATTAATTTTCTTGGATTATTCGCAGCACAGACAAGAAGACGAATACGAAGAATTAAGATGGATGGGACATATTTTTCAAATAGCAAGTGACACATTTTCTTACCCGAAGCACGAGCAGTACTGATATGCATATTAGCCGGGACAAACAAGTTAGACAACTGGGTTATAATAACACAAACACAAGGACAAAAAGTGCATCGCTATTTGGACAAAGTCCCACTCATCTCTCTGAGTGTGTGACAAAGTCTCTCTCATTTACCTGAATTTAGTTATATATGCATGTTATTAGCGCATTTTCTCATTTATGGAAAAAATGCACTATTGTGCTCGCCATGTCCGTCTGTCTGTCTGTCCGTCTGTCCATGACCACGTTTTCATGCGCGTCACCACGTCAAAATGCGCTCTCTAGCTGTCACTCACTGCAGTGAGTACTGAGTTATATTTTTATAGACTCACCACTGGTCAGTCTGTCGAGGCGGTGAATAGTTCTCAGGTTCTTTAGGTTATATTCTTTGGCGAGGATGAATACGACGGTGTTGTGGCGGTAGCGGCCGCAGGGATGTACCTGTGATACACGTGTACGTAGGAGGAACTCGTGTAGCTGGTAGGACCATGTTACTGAGGAGCACTCAGCGTATTTTCAGAGATACTTGATGTAATGAATACCCATCAATGAAATAAAAATATACTTGAATGTATGCAAGTATTTGGTATCGAGAGAATAATTGTGCTGATTTATTATCATAAAAAAATCAATTAGAAATTTTATTTGAAATTAGGGTTCAGCAACCAGATGTTGGGACTAATATTTTGGCAATATCAGGGGCAACATCAGGCTATATTTTAAACAAAACAATAATAAGAATATTTAAAAAACAATGAATGAGTTGGTACAATGAATAATTGTTCTAAAGACAATTATTTCGCTTTTAATATACAATATTTGACGCTCTATGAAGTGAAAGGATTTAGACTTATTCAAAATACTTCAATATATCATGTTCATTGATCAATATCAGATTAACACTTCAGGTTTATTTGTCAACATTAAAATTGAGCCTATATTTCAATATATACAAACACATATGACGTTCAATATTAAAGTAACGCTTCAGGTTTACTATTGAACCTTAAAACTCTAACAAATAATTGGAAGCTAAACGAAGAGTGCATGAAAAGCTGTGAAGAAGGATAAGTAAGAAGGAAGGATAATTGCAGGACATAAAAGGTTGTATTGGTCATGTGGAATGGAGAAGTGCAACAACACAACAACAGCGACTAGAAGCTTCAAACAACTAAACTACAACCAAAAATAGAGCATGTAGTAATTTCAGAAGAACATGTGTGAAGTTTGTGACATACACATTGTAACAAGATTCTCAATCATTACTAAAGCGTCTTAAATACATAGGCAGATGTATAAAACCATAAAACCTAAACCTTAACGTAAGTTTATATATATAGGCAAAAGTACGAAATCTGGTCGTTTTGTACCTTAAAACTTGTCAAAATAGATAAATAATTTAGCAGTGGTATAAACGTTGATTGTTGTAGCAAACGTTCAGAATTAAGCTTTTAGGAATGTTGGACGATGTCGCAAAATAAACTGTGTGACTAAGGGACAAAATTCAACAGAAACATTGGGATATCATACAGATGAATAAAGTGATGGGGAAACAATAGTTGTATTCAAACAAAAACAGGGTCCAGGCATTTCAATGAATGCAGTTCAAGAAACACACAAAGCAAGGGTCTGTATTTATACCTATTCTATTGAAGATGCACATTACGTTCGTTCCCCTTTAAATTGTGCACTCAACCTGTCAGTTGTGTGTACAATGCGCGTCATTTAAACGTACGTCACATATGCTTTCAACACAAAAGACAGTAAGAAACATTCCAAAAGTCACATGTACGTGACATGTTCATAACACTTGCGTAACGAAACAAGGCAAAAGTCATCCGTTATACGTTACCAAAACAACAATCGCAAACCAATTAACACACCAAATAGAGATGACTTTTGGCCGCGATGTAAGTTGTTTACGTTAGTAGTGGCTCATACAGTCTAGGAAACCCGAGATCGATGGAATCAAAGGAAACAACGAAGCGTCTGACGAGGAGAATAAGACCGAACGGTTCCAACTTCGTAAGCAAATGACGAGTTCCGGTCGAGTTTCGCAAAAGTGAGGAGAAATGCAAATGGCAAACTGGGGACACTGCGAGACAGGCGAGGGCGCGACACGCTTCTCCACTTCAGAGGAGTAGGAAAAGATAAGACATTGTGGCGACAGGGTAAAAATATTCATAAACTGAGATGAAAATAGTTCGTGAGAACTCGTAAGACATTTCGTTCAAATAGAGGCAGCGAGAAAAGTATTCCTTTGTGAACAGATATGCCAAAAATAAGTTCGTATGCAGAATTGCAGGTGGCAGTTCCATGTATTTTTTGAGGATAGCATTTGAATTTAAAATTATTTTACTTCATAATTTGAATTCTACATTTGGAAGCAAAGGTATACTTACGAGTATCACAATAGCACAGCAAGGCAGAGCCTGCAGGTGGCCTGTTTCGAGTCGTTGTGAATTGAACGAGACGAATGATGCAAAGCGCGAGACGTAACATCCCATATAATTACAGTTCATTTGTCAGGGCTGTAACGAGGCAGCTTTTCGGTCGACGTCGCGTAAGAAAGAACGCGTGATGAATGCAACTCGGTTATGCGTGACTGATGGACAAACGTGAATGCCGATAATTTCGTCAAGGAAATTCGACTTGACGTGCATTAGCGAAACGCCGAGACATGAGCAAGAAATGCGGTGTCTTGACCAAAGCTGACAAGTACGGATGGTTTCAGCTGCAATTTTGAAACAGAATTCCTTGCAGCCTGACATCAAGGGCCGTAATGTGACCATAGAGAGACACTTTATTCCGTAAATGGCGTCAGACCGCTGCCAACAAATAGCCCTTTGAATAGCAAGACACGCAGGCAAGTGGACTTGATACTTTCGTTTATTAGGCAATAAGCATTCTATGGGCTGTCGCAGAAATGGCATTACTTTCACATCTGAATCTAGTTTAAATTTAAATGCGGATAGCGATATATCTAACTTTAAGGTAACGTATTAACCTATTGATTCCAATCGATTTCTTTCCTAGGAGCACGAACGCAATCAGAATAAAAATAAAAAGAATTACGTGAGCACGCCTAACGACCCACCCGAGAGCCATCGCGCGGCAGTTGTCGCGTTAGAACGAGGTCGGGGCGGTCGCAGCAACTGGCGTGATCGACAAGACAACTTTGAGGAAACTGTGCACAAAACTGCTACGAGCGGTCATTATAAGAGTGGAGGTTGAGCTCTCAATGAACTGAACCCGTCATTTAGGTCAGCAAAATACCCAGTTATATATGTTGTCTCTACAAAAAGTGAGCGGTTAACTTTAAAAGACCGAAGCAATAATGGCCATGAAACGCAAAAGGATGATGGCATGGAGAACACTTTACCGTAAGGTCGTTGGGAAGCTCAACAAGAGGAAGAGAAAAATCGCGACCTAAATAACGAGCAAAGTAAAACAAAGTCGATTCTTCTGACGATAACTTCTAGGAAATCTTGCGTTTGTTTACAGCGTCTTATAAGCGAAGTAATGGTGAAAAACACGAACTTGTTTGTTGGCAGTGAAGCCTGGCACTAACTTCCCAACAATTTCAGGGAAAAGTAACTTGAAGGCGAAGAAAGAAATGACAGGACAACCTAAGTTCGCCTCCGGGTACAGGAGATCTAAACTTGACTCGGGAAGATTTACTGCAGTATATATATGCAGCCCTGCAAGTTCCTATTCAACATTCACTGGGATGAAAGCGGAATAACGGTACCCTTAATTACCGAAGCAGCTACGTAAAAGTGTATGCAGACTTACCACAACAAATACTCTTACAAAATACTCACAAATACTCAACAATGAATATTCATAATCGTCGTCAAATCGAAGTTTGATTATTCGCTGTATAGAACATAAACGTTTATGTCCTCAGGTCTGTGATGCAAATCTAAGTTTAAGAACCAAAATGATGCCACAAATGCTGAGCCGTCGGAGCGTCGTGCAGAATATCAAAATCGTAACCGAATTTTCAGAGGAAGGCTGAGGTTTACTGACGGAATTCCTCACTGCTGCAAAGCTCGGAAACAACCAAGTCACTTAATATTAAAGGTCTCTGACTTTAAAGAGCGACGGGCTTTAAAGAAGACGGCACATCGGTTGCAATGATCGCACAATACTTCCGTCCAACACAGTCAGCTTCAGACCGATCTTCATTATATCATTATTAAATGATAATACTTGAACTGTCATTAGGCTCTTCGTATTGCTTGTAGACTGGTCTTCATTACATCATTATTATTAAATGCTTACTGATGCACGGCCTAGGAATACTTACAGAAATTCAATACTTCCTTCAGGCACAGGAACCATGAAAATTTATTTCACCTCTTTTGCAACGTCGAGAGAAAATCAAGCCCACATATAAATCATAGAAAACCTAACTTTTGCCGGCTGCTTACCATAACTTCAAAGAAAATTAGTCACAAATGCCACGAATAACTATATTTTCGTTTGCGACAGCAGAATTTAACGTGTTTCACAAAAAGATTTCGCGAGCACATCGGACGATCAATCTTATACTTGAGCGATAAATCTTGTGGATGCAAACCATCGGTGATACGGGATCGCCCACCCGTAAATTTCAAAGAAGTTGGAATTCGTTTAGGGGGACAACAGAAAAGCGAGCGACGAGCGAATTACGGAAGATGCATTGCCGGGCTCAAACTATTACAAAGTTTGCGTGTTATTTATTCGATTTAAGCAGGATGTATGTTAAATAAAGATTCACTGAACCAGGTTGAAAGACGAAATGTACATGCAATCAAATTAAAATAAATTTATTCTCCAAATTTCACGGTCACATTCGCAGTCCTGCAATCCACGACCGACAAACGAATCGTAGAAACGTATGATGATCAGAAAACTAGAACGCGCTGAGTAAGAGTGTCATTATTAAAGACGCGTTAAGAACTAACTTTTGCGTTCAGTAGCGCAGAACTTGTCATCAGTCATCAGATAATACACATATTCCTACGCTGGCATCTCAGACTTAATTGCGAAATTGCCAACCCAGCAGCGAAGCTCAACCCATTCCCTCGCCTGGCCCTGCCAATCGTGGGCTTGGAACTCGAATTTATAGCCACCACTGAGCTTACAATCATCGCAATCATTCAGAAAAATCCGGCCCCCAGACTGCGGCAATGCGGCGACGTTATTGATACACGCAACACGCAGGGCTGCAACACGCACGACACGCACCTCCGACCGTCGCGGTGCACCACACGCACTGGGTGCTACCGTGTTTTCTCAATTCATAAACCTCAAATTCTAAAATTGTGTTTAAAAACTTTCACATTCTTCACAAAATTTTCACATTCTTAAATGTGTTTAATTTCAAATAAAATTCAACTTGTGTTTTAGAAATTATAAAATATTCTAAAAAAAACTTTTAAATAATATTCCAT